ATAGAACTCCATTGTGCATATATACCACATTTTCTTGATCCATTCATCTACTGAGGGGCATCTGGGTTGGTTCCATATCTTATCTATGGAAAATAAAGCTGCAGTGAACATGGTTGTGCTGGTAGCTCTAGTGTGATCTTGTTTGTGATCGTTTTGGTAAATGCCCAGGAATGGGATTGCTGGATCATGGGGGAGTTCTATGTTTAGTCTTTTTAAGGAACTTCCATACTGCTGTCCAGAGTGTTTGAACCAGTTTACATTCCCACCAACAATGTAGTAGTGTTCCCTTTTGGCCACATCCCCACCAGCATCTGTTAATTATGTTTTCTTGATAATGGCCATTCTAACTGGGGTGAGTTGTTTTGATTTGCATTTCTTTTATGACCAGAGATGTTGAACATTTCTTCAGGTATCTACTGGCTATTCTTATTTCCTCTCCAGAGAAGTCTCTTTTTAATTCTTCAGTCCACTTATTAATGAAATATATATGCACCAAATGCCAGAGCACCCAAATTCATCAAACAAACACTACTTACCCTAAAACTGTACATAGATCCAAACATATTGATTGTTGGTGACTTTAACACACCACTGTCACTACTGGATAGATCAACCTGGCAAAAACTCAACCGATAAACCCCTGAACTAAACAATTATATAGCCAAACTAGACTTAACAGACATTTGCAGACTATTTCATCCAGCAGCATCAGAATATACATTCTTCTCAGCAGCACATGGAACATTTTCCAAAATAGACCACATTTTAGGTCACAGAGCAAATGTAAGCAAAATCAAGAATATTGAAATTATTCCCTGCCTTCTCTCAGACCACAGTGAAATAAAATTAGAGCTCAACACCAAGAGCCACCATAGAAAATTTTGTAATGTACAGAGACTGAACAACACATTGTTGAGTAGTCAGTGGCTCATTGAAGAGATCAGAAAGGAAATTCAAACATTCATAATATTTAACAAAAATGAACATACAAAAATACTAACTTCTCTGGAACACAGCAAAGGCAGTACTCAGAGGAAAATTTATATCTCTGAGTTCCTACATAAACAAATTGGAGAAATCACAAACCAACAATTTAATGATGCACCTTAAGCTCCTTGAAAATCAACAATCCAAGATGGTTATAGATAATTAAAATTAAATCAGAATTAAGTGAATTAGAGTCCAAAAAAACATAACAAAGATCAGCAAAACAAAGAATTGGTTCTTTGAAAAATATTAACAAAATTGACAGACTTTTAGCAAATCTGACCAAAAGAAGTGGGAGAGGGAGAGATGAGATTGGGAACATAACAGAAACAAGCAAGATTCAGAACATTATAAAGGAATACTTTGCAAACCTTTGTGCTAACAAATTTGAGAATGGGAAGAATTTCTAGCAAATATTTAGATACCCAAACTAAACCAAGATCTAAGCCAACTAAATAGACCGATATCAAGTTTTGAAATAGAAATGGCAATCAAAGACCTCCGACCCAAGAAAAGCACAGGACCAGACAGATTCACAGCCAAATTCTAAAAGACTTTCAAAGGAGAACTCCAATACTCTTCAATGAAATTGAAAGTAAAAGATCTCTACTAAACTTGTTCTTTGAGGCCAGCATAACCCTCATCCCAAAACCAGATAGGGACCCAACAATGAAAAATAACTATAGACCCATTCCTTTAATGAACATCGATGCAAAGCTTCTCAATAAAATTCTGGCCAAATGACTTCAACAGCTAATCAAAAAATTTGTTCACTATGACCAAATGGGATTCATTCCAGGGATGCAAAACTGATTCAATATACACAAGTCAATTGATGTAATTCAACACTTCAATAGGGGCAAGGATAAGAATCACATGATCATCTCAATAGATGCAGAGAAAGTATTTGATAAGATCCAACACCGCTTTATGACTAAGGCTCTGAAGAAACTAGGAATCTGTGGAACATTCCTCAATATAATAAAAGCTGTATATGACAAACCCATAGCTAACATTATACTTAATGGTGAAAAGTTAAAAAATAATTCTCTAAAATCGAATGAGACAAGGATGTCCTCGCTCTCCACTCCTCTTCAGTATAGTATTGGAATCCTAGCCAGAGAAATAAGGCAAGAGACAAAGTGATCCAAATAGGGAAAGAAGTAAAACACTCCCTCTTTGCAAATGATATGAACCTGTATTTAAAGGACCCCATAGACCCCTCTCCCAAGTTACTTGAGCTGATCCAAAACTTTGGCAAAGTAGCAGGGTATAAAATTAATCCACAAAAATCAGTAACTTTTCTATATGCCAAAAATGAGAAGGGTAAAATCAGAAAAGCAACTCCATTTGTAATAGCCTCAAAAAAAAATGACCAAACAAGTGAAGGACCTTTATGATGACAACTTTAAAAACATGAAAAAGCAAATTTAAGGATGTGGATAAACCTCCCTTGCTCCTGGATTGAGAGGATTAACAGTGAAAATGGCAATACTGCCAAAGGCAATCTACACATTCAATGCAATACCCATCAATATCCCAACAACATTCTTTAATGAAATAGAAGAAACAATCCAAAAATTCATATGGAATTTTAGAACACCCCTAATGACAAAAGCAATCCTTAAGCAGGAGAAATAGTACTGGAAGAATATCAATACCAAACTTCAAACTCTATTATAATGCTGCAATTATAAAAACAGCTTGGTCCTGGCACATAAACAGCCTGAGGGCCAGTGGAAAAGAATTGAAGACCTAGATATGATCCCATAGACCTATGACCACCTATTTTTTTTTATTTTTATTTTTTGTCATCAGTTGTGGGGCTCAAGGCGAATGTTCTACCACTTGAGCCACAGTGCCATTTCTAGTTTTCTGGTTATTAACTGGAGATAAGAGTATCACGGACTTTCCTGCCTGGGCTGGCTTTGAACCATGATCCTCAGATCTCAGACTCCTGAGTAGTTAGGATTACAGGCATGAGCCACCAGACCTGGCTCCATCTAATCTTTAGGTTAGATTTTTTTTACTAAGTAGCTACCTTTATATCGTTTAGCCACCTTCTCTGCTGTTTATCTAGAACTACATCCTTCTGCTATAACTAATGCTCCCTTGCCAGACTACTGCCCTTCCAGTGAAAACAAAGCTCTCTGGGTTGGTGGTGGTACTGTATAAAATTACAGTCTGAAGACTGTTGAGTAATTGTATTGACATACACTTCCCACCCTACCTCTTCTGTGGGCATATAGGAGAAGAGCTCAGATGGAAAATCAAGCCTTAATTATCTACTAAAAATCAATTTTTTAAAGCTATATCTTACCATGGAAAGTGACCGACACACGTTTATCTGATTGTATATGTTGGCCTGTGTCTGATAATGACAGTATTACCATCACACTGAATTTTGACAACCCAAGCAATGAAGGGACTTGAGTTCCAAATATAAATATTTGCATTTCCATATCTTCATTTTTAAAGAGAAAGCATAATATTGATGGTAAATCATTGCCATCTTGCTGTGTTGTGAATTTATGACACCTGATTTTAGGGAAGTCAATGAATGTGTGTGTGTGTGTGTGTGTGTGTCTGAGTGTCTGAGAATGGAGTCAGGGCCTCATCTTTGTAGGCAGTATTCTCCCTCAGAGCTACCTTCCCAACTGAGGTTCTGTGTCTTTAGCTCTATTTTGGAGAATGGATATTAATTCGCATGTTTGAGAAGCATGAGGTAAGAAGATCATGGGTGAGAACATGCTGTAGTTAACTAGCCTATATAATGAAGAGTCTTGGGAATTCAGGCCTCATCAATTCAAAAATACATTTTATCAAATGCATTATTTGATTAACATGTTTAAGTAGATTTGCCTGATTAGTTTTCCTTTCAATGGTAAAAATATAAACCCCTGAATATTTTCTCTTTGAATATAGTGTAGGAAAAATATAGGTTCCACCAATTTTTTATTCAGCTCAGCAGTTCCTTCCTCAATTGTGAGAAGAAACACAAAGCTGCTTCCCGTTTATTAAAAGAATCTAGGACCTGAGAGTCCCATCTCTTAAAATTACAGAACGTCAGTGCATCTTTGATAGGTAATTTGCAATCTTCCCACTACTTGTAGGTAACCATGGTCCAAAAGGGTTATATCTTTTTCTTTGTTGTAATTAGCAAAAACCAGGCCTTATTAGCTTAAGCAGATGAGACTTTGTTGGTAGAATATTAGAAATTCATAGACTTGATAAGCGCAGAGCCAAAGAATTAGGCTTGGCTGTGGAATCTCTAGACCAGATTCAGGAAGCATGAACTACTGAAGAAGATCATTGTAGGACCTTCCTTCTATGATGTGGACTTGGACACACACACTCACACACACACACACACAGACACACACACACACACTATACTAGAAGATAGGTACCAGAAGGCATTGCTGGTGAAGCCATTATGCTATAATCAGTTTTAAGAAATTATGTTTGTTAAGGCTCTTTACTTCAATGTTATCTCCATTGTACAATTTATGAGTATTTTAAGTATGTTTATTAGCTCTCAGCCATTTTAGTTGATTATTAGAGATAATTGATGCAGTGCACAGTTATTAAATTAATTTTTCTTAATTAAAACTATAACTGTAAAGATAATACTTAAGTTACCCTGGCTAACCTGGTTATTGGGGAAATGGCAATTCTATACTTTATTTTGATTTTCCTTGTTTTAAAAGAAGTCATTTAAAGAGATGAATTTTAATATCCTAGGATATAAGGACGACACAGGTCTTTTTGCTTATATATGAACATTTAAGAATACTGCACAGTGTACTTCCTAGTTATAAGAGGAAAATAATGATTAAATGCAATTTTATTGAATTAATTTTAAGAAATAATTTTATAATGTTCCTATGTGAGTCCCCGTGATGCATTGCATCTGTAAGCTTTCTTTCACTGTCAGCTTCCAAATCATTGGCCAAAATCATTCTGAGTATCACTGGTGTGAAGAAAGTCAACCTGCTGCATTTCCCTTTCAGCATCCAGTGCTGGATGAGCCAGTAGCTGAGGCTGTCTGCATTATTGCAGATACGGACAAGTGGAGCGTCCAGGTGGTCACAAGTCAGAGGAAGGTGATAGACAACATGAAGCTGGGCCAAGAGGTTTTGGTTTCTAGTCAGGTGTCCAGTTTACTTCAGTCCGTTTTACAGCTGTACAAGCTTCATCTCTCTGCTGATTTTGTAAGTATTGGCTCTCACATCATCAAAGAAATACAGCTAATAAAATACTCTTGGAACACTTTGACTAAAGTCTTAAGTTCAGACACACTAGTTTTTATATAATTGGAGGTTAGCATTCAGTAGAAGTGGAACATGCAACATATAAACAGCGAACACTAAGGATCTCAGTATAAATGGCCCTCCTTCAAGAACTTGAGCACTGAAATCTTTTGAACAAGGAAGACGGTAGAATGAATAAGGGATAAGGAGGGGGATCGAGCATAAAAGAAAATTTTAAATCCTCCATTGGAAAATTCCTTAGTTCTCCCTTTGTGAGTGGATATTAGGCACACCTTGTTTCTGAAGGGATTGTTGTTTTGTGTTCAGTGACTGTCCTCACAAAAACATTAAATATAAAATAGATATGGTTTGTAGAAACACTTTGCAATGTGAAAGTGCTGGATAAGATGTATTATATAAGTACTTATAAGTTGGTATCAATTGTTAATTTTCAGCTCGACTTTTCAGATCACTTTCATATCATTTAAAATACAAATACAAGCCTAGAAAGCCCTAGAAAAATTGTTGACAGCTCTCCCCAAGTTAGTGGCCTTAATATACATAACAAATTACTCTGTCTCTCTTCCTTCTTAACCCTCCCCCTCCCTCCCTCTCTCTATATGTGTGTGTGCTGACAAAGAGAGATTGAAAGAGGAACTATATTCAGAAAGGGAGGGATAAAACTAGGAAAATCCTCCTTGAGCTGGAAGAGTCTGCTAATTAGTCTTTCCTCCCTTCTGTGCAGAGTTTTTTTTTTTTTTGTAGCATAGTCACAAACCAAAACCTCTTTCCCTGCTGGCCTTGCAACACATTAAATTAGAGCTACTGACCAGAAAAGTAGGAAGCTAAATATTAATACTCTAATTACCAATCTAATGGTCATTTTTCTTGAGTTCTTCTGATGGAATCTAGTTATACTACATTCCTCAGAAATAATCAAGACTTTGTTAGCTCTGAAATGATGGTTGTTGTAAAACCAGTGGCAGTGTGGCAGGGAAGGAGGACTTCAGAGCACCATTGGGTTAGGCTTGAGTTTACTGGTGATTTACTTGTTTGATGGTGGACAGTCCTGAGTGTCTCTGAAACTCAGATTTCTTGTTTTAAAATGAAGGTGGCACAATACATGTGTTGTAAAATTTCTCTGAAAATTAGTGATTAAATACTGCTTTTTCAAGCTGTCAAAGCACAGTACAAATACAGGATACTTTAAAAGCCAATACATATACATTAGGAGCCAGCCAGAACACAGGCTTTAGAGTTTAACTCAAGGTTTACTGCTAACCGCATAACCTCTTAAAGCCTCAGTGTGCTTATCTGCAAATCTGGAGAGATAATAGAACATGTCTCATATGCTTATAAAGATGAGACAATTAGGTGATTTATGCAAAGCACTTAGAAGAGTGGCAGATGTTATAAACTCACAGGAAACAGTGATTAGTGGTATGGTATGTTGGTTAATTAAACAGTATTGATAATTGTAAAAGCCAGAAACATCTTTTCACAAAAATATTTATTTGGGATTTAAACTGAAGAATATTCTTATATGATGTCTGTCCCAGGGGTAATAGGAAAAGCATTCATGGGTTGTTGTGACCTTGTTTTCCATTCTCCACCTATAAGCAGTTTTCTTCTAGTAGCAGATTGGGTTGAGTGCACATGGCCTCTTCTGTAAGGGAAGGAGGATATATTAAACATCATAGCGTTTTATATTTCATTTATATTTCATTCTGAACTACATAGCTCCTATTACATTTCACATGTTAGTTATCAAAGCTATAACTTACTAATTCTTTTTACTTCATTTGAATAGAATGAAGTTTAACCACCAAATAAAATGAATGCCTCATTAAACCAACATCAAAGAAAATTTTATCTGCAGTTTTATTTCCTTAAATATTACTTGAATAAAACATATATGATTAGGGCCTTCAGATGAAAAGAGAAAAGCTATTTAAAGTTTTAGAAGTTAAAAGTTGAACAACTCTGTCTTAGGAACAAAATCCCAGCAAAAAGAAAGGGAAATAATAGTTTTATTTGAATATTAAGCTTTTAAAAAAGTCTAATTGCTTTAAATTTCACATTTATTTACATTTCCAGACAGGAATACTCTTTCTTTCCACATCTCACCAAGTACTTTTCATGTGGAATAGTGACACTAAATTAACTGTTTTATAAGAAAAGATTCAATATAGTATTAATGTTCTATTTAGTATTTTATAATGCTCTTATTAAAAACATGAGCCGGGCACCAGTGCTCATGCCTGTAATCCTAGCTACTCAGGAGGTTGAGATCTGAGAGGACTGCAATTGAAGCCAGCTTGGGCAGGAAAGTCCATGAAACTATCTTCAATTAACCACCAGAAAACTGGAAATGGCACTGTGGCTCAAGTGGTACAGCACTTGCCTTGAGCTGAAGGGTTCAGGGACAGCGCCCAGGCCCAGAGTGCAAACCCCACGACTGACAAAAAAAAGAAACAAAACTGTGTGCTTTTATTCTATAAAGAACTGAAACTCGACAGAGAGATAGATCCCATAACCACTTAACTCTGTTAGTTTGGAAGAAATTTCCATGAGAACTGGTGAAATCCTCCTGGCTTTGCCTGTTACTTACTAGCAGTTGTGTTTCATCCACCTGACACATGCACTTAAGATTTCAAGCCTGTATTCTTACAGAGTGCCTCACTATCAGATACTTTACCTTGTCACTGATCAGTGCAGATGGCCAACTTCAACATTTTCAAATGCATCTGTTAATCTTTTTTACCCTGAAAATAACAGGCCTAATGGTCTAGAAGAAAATTACATATGATGGAATTGCCCTTGCCAAAGCAATCAGGTGTCTCACTGGAGATGCTTGCATAACTCTGCCTGCCAAATGCAAAAGCATTTGCCTCTGGTGAAAGACACAGATGGCTGCTGTTCTCTAGAAAGTGAAGTTGGACACATTTCCAAGGGTAAAGATGTCCTGAAATATAATTGCCTCTTTATTGTTATTGAAGACCTAGTTAAAGTATGCTCTTGAAAGCAAAATAAAAAGTTCCAAACAACCTTATTCTCCTCTGGGCCAAAACACTGTGATATGGAAATAGAACATATCAAATATAATCTTTACAAAATATTAGAACAAAAACATAAATAGCTCTGCAATTAAATAATGGCAAATTTACTTCTCAGCAATTATTTAGCCATAAAATTATGTCAATACTGGGTGTTAGTGGTGCATGCCTGTAATTCTAGCTACTCAGGAGGCTGAGATCTGAGGATCTTGGTTTGAGGTCATCCCAGACATGAAAATCCATGAGTCTCTTATCTCTAACTACCAAAAAAGTCAGAAGTGGAGCTGTGGCTCCTGGGGCAGAGTGCTAGCCTTAAGCAAAAAAGAGTTTAGGGACAGTGCCTAGACCCTGAGTTTAAGCCCTAAGTCCTGACACATATACACAAAAAAATTATCAATAAAGGATTTTTAACATTGGAATTAATTATTAGAAAGGTTTTTAAAGGTAGGAAATTTTTGTATTTAGAAACCTTAAAAACATTATCATGAGCTGGGAACCACTGGCTCACACCAGTAAATCCTATAAAAATTTTGATTTGAATAGCCAAGTCCACCCAGGCAGAAAAGTCCTCTAGTTTGAAAAATAACAACACAACACTGGCATGATACTATATTTTAAAAAATTGTCATTTTACAAAAACATGTTTTAGTACTTCCTAGTGATGGATTTTTTGGTCACTTGTAGAATTCTTTATTTGTGTGTGTTACTGAAGATTAAACCCAGAACCATAAGTCATAAGCAAGTGCCCTACCACTGAATTGTTGAGGCAGGGTTTCACAGTGTAGCTCAGACTGACCTTGAACTCACTGTGTAGCTTTACCTGGTCCCAAACTTAAGATCCTTCTTTCTCTACCACCCAAGTACTGTATCACCATTCCCAACAGTTTTTAAAGTGTTCTTGAAAGTGGTGATATAACTTTTATGACATTGGTAGATTGATTATAGCCCTCATTCTGAATGTTATTGCCTTCACAGTGCATCATGCATCTTGAAGACAGATTACAAGAGATGTACCTTAAAAGTAAAATGCTTTCTGAATATCTTCGGGGACACACAAGAGTACATGTGAAAGAATTGGGTGTTGTGCTGGGGTGAGTTCTGTGAAGGGTTATCACTACCCCTTTCTAGTCTGGTCCCTCAACTCATTAGCCTGTGCCATCCTACATCTGCAGGCCCAGTATTTCCCAGTGTTCAAGGTCCCTCAGATGTGAGCTCCACAGCTCTCAAATGACCAACATCTGACATCTGGATTCCCACCTGGAAACAATTTTAGGACATGGGTTGGGGCTACTTTTGCCTGCTGCTTTTATTCTCATAAGGGAACATTTTACCCATTCTCTCTGTCCATTTCTAGTAACTCCATAAGATGCCAGAGCCACAACTGTCAGTGGGGAGCCTGTGTTCATACCTTACTTCCTAGGGGAGGAACAGGACTTCTCTCAAACTCCAAGGGCTTCCACGTAAGCCCTTTGATAGGGAGACTTGCTCATATTACTAATCCATGTCATCTTCCAGAGAGCACTTACAACATCTTCTCTAGAAGGAATGCTGATTTGTTTTCCTAATCAGTAGGCAGCTAACAAAAAAGTCATTGTGTCTATGGGTACTTTTTCCCTTTATCCATGGTAACTATTTCTCAATTTGGAATTAAAAATGTCAACCTTTAAATTCTCCCATGCCAGCTAGTTAAAAAAATTTTTAAAATTTTAAAATTTAGGCCTTTGCATTTACATTTACAGACTCTTATATTCAGGGCATAACTATTTTTTTTTCACATGTTGCATTTAAAAAATATTTTCCCCCTTCGAGACATTTTGCTGGTGTCCCCCTTGTGTTTTGTTTGGCTCATGGCAGCCGCATACTGTAATCCTGCCTCACCAGTTTCCCATCACTAGATGTGAACATTGTATTTCTAGAACTTTTTTTTTTCTTTTTCTTTTTTTGGTTCGGTCGGGGCCTGAACTCTGGGCCTGGACGCTGTCCCTCAGCTCTTCAGCTCAAGGCTAGCGCTCTACCACTTGAGCCACAGCACCACTTCCAGCTTTTTTCTTTTTGCTTATGTGGTGCTGAGGAATCGAACCCAGGGCCTCAGGCATGCAAGGCAAGTGCTCTACCACTGAGCTACCTTCCCAGCCCCATTTCTAGAACTTTTTAACAGTTCCTCATTCTGGCAGATACCCATCCATCTATACTCGTAGAAAAATTCATAATTTTTAGAATTAGTTAAGAAATAGTTAAGATCATGTTCCACAGACTGGAACATTCCAATTTTTTCTCCTCATAACACCTGGCAGCATTTTGCCAGCAACTATCAGGCTTCCACCTCTGCTTTAAGAGTGTAGCCAAAGCCATGTCCATCCCTTGAGACTGGCTCAAGCACTCAGGGAGGAACTGAGGGGCACAGCCTTCAGGAACAGACCCAAGGTATTCGGAGTGATGACTTATCACAATTCTCCTAGACTAACTTGAATCATTGTGTCAAGTCAGTCTGCCTGCAGGACGATTGTCGGGAGGAGTGAGGGACAATGGAAAAACCTGAGTCAAACAGAATAAAAAAAGTCACCTGTTGAAGATTGAGTGGGCCCTCAGAGAGAACAGCTTTGTGTTCCCCACCTTTCTGTGCCTATATCCTTGGCATCTGTGGACAGAGTCCATTGGGAGATCTTAGCTTATCATTAGTTTTAAATGATGTTGGATAAGGTACATTAAAATGACTTCCTAGATAATTGTGTTAAAGTACTGTTTTTTTCTGCTTTCGATCTTCAGGATTGAATCTAATGACCTGCCTCTGTTGACTGCAATTGCCAGCACTCATTCTCCTTATGTGGCTCAAATACTTTTATAAACTAATGCTCAGGACAATTTTTCTTGAAACAAGAAAAACAAATTCTCAACTGAAGGACAAATGAACCTGGCCTCGGTGACATCAAAAGCATAAGAGGAGAAGATAAGGAGTCATTCCACCATTTGCTTTGTTGCTTTCAAGTGGATGCTTCATTGGGAGACTTAGGTTTACTGGACACAATTGCATTTGTGATTTTCAAAAACACTTTGGATCTTTTGTTACCTGTGAATCAGCAGAGTGTTATTTCTGGTCAGGGGAGACATAAGCACTACACTAAACACTAAGCAGTTGTTGCAGATAGCCTTGTGTTGTTTGGACAGAATAATGACGAGCAATTTGGAGTAGAGTGCAAACTGTGTAAGTAACATTCCAGCAGGGTGAGGCTGTAACCTGGAGAGAACACAGTGCACTATTGTAAGACAGGCAGAATAAGGACTTTGATTTTCACAGGTGACAAGAAGGAAGCCAAATTATGCCATTATCGCCCCGTGGCTCTAGCAGCTGCTGTTTGATATGAAAGGGGATTGTCTGTTGGAAAAACAGTGCTGTAGGGACCTAGTGCTCTCACTGAGTTCTCAGAGTTTACTCTCAGAGGCAGCTACAGGTAAGTCAGAGGTGGATTGCTGGTGCAATAACCCAAGAGCCAATGTAGCATCCTCATCCCATCTAGTGTAGTTTGTAAAACAGAGTACAGCCTGACTCCAGGTGTTGACCCTGTCACTTAGAGCTCTCTGCAGCCTTTCCAAGAAAGGCTATTTGCCAAAGTTACTTATAAGCTCAAGTGTTTCTGTTGATAAATTCTTCCAGCTAGAGCCACTTTCTTCCTAGATTAGTTGATTTAAGACTGTAATTGAAAAGATGTAGCTGTCCAAGTAGGAAGTGAAACTGCAGCAAAAAGCAGCTAGGTTAGACTATAAGAAGCAAACTGCATACAGTGTGAATTTTTACAGAATCAACTGTGTACTTTTTTCATCTTGTTCATGTCCTTTCCAAAACATCTTTCTAGAAATCAACTTGATCATCACACATAAAGCCTACCAAAGTGAAGGATTCAACTGTTAAAAACTCAGTTTTCTATTAGCAGAAAAGAAACCTAGTTTACTGACTGATAATGATTGTATCTTGACATCTAGGATAAAGTAAGACTTGCATTAAGTGGAAGAGGCTAATCTAGTAAACAAGCCATGGTTAAACCCTAACTTCCCTCCCTTCCACATATCTCTTGTACTAAGAAGGTGGACTACTTTGGAGTTAGAAAGACTTTAGACTTCATACTTCATAAAATCTTGATCCTCACTACCACATAACTTTGTCTATTCTTGTACAAATGCAAGTAAATTGGAAGCTGTACCAATTGACAAAAATGCTGTGTTCTTTCTTAGGAACAGGCCAGAAATACTACTTTCCCCTCTCTTTGTGCTTTATGAGAATAGATATAGGTGCTTTGAGGCACTTGGTATCTTTGATGTTCACTTTATTTTTTATTTTTCTTTTACAAAATTTAAGTTTTACATTCCTTTTAGTGTTATTGCCTTTCTTTTTGGCCTAACATAAGTTTGGTATTTTCACATTTCTCTCTCTATGATACCATTGTTTGCTACTGGCCACCTTATGGCTCAGCATGCTCAACCTTGCTTTTCCTTGTGTGTGAATAAGCTGTCAAAGCTAGTCTTAGGTTTTTTTCCATGCCAACCTAAAGCATTCCCCTCCTCTCTAGCTCCTTTTCCTTGTTTACATGTTGTGTGCACTTTGCCTTATTCACCATCTTCCCGGGGTTCAGAGAAAATAACAACACAAAAGGAATATGAGTCTCGTGTATCCATTAGTGGCATGTCGAAAATTAGCTCCATCCCGGGAAAATTGAGCTTCACCTGGGTTGATTCTTAACTCTATACATAAAAAACTCAGCTAAGTCTCCTCCAAGCCTTAAAATTATAATTTTCTTCTTGTTCTAATGTTTGAAAAGTCACTCAGAAAATGTATTGTAGGAGATCACAGGTGGGTGGTGGGTGGAGGTTGCCTCAGTGATCCCTTAGGACTCCATTCAGAGCCTAATCCTGTTGTGCTGCCTACAGACACAGACCCATAATATTGCTGCTCTTTCTAAGTTTCATTGAAATATTGAACATTTCAAGCTTCCTCTTAAATTCAACTTCTTCCCTAAAGCAAAGATAAAGAAAAGTCCTGGGGACCTGTGATCCCCCAACACACATACAACACCCAATGGCTTCCTTCTGCTACAGCTGAAGAGTCGAGAAAGGGCTCCCACCCTCCCATACCCCTCTCAAGAAAAAAAAAATGAAGAAAGAAATCTACCTCAGTTGACAGGATTCTACCTTTAGGGTTTATTCAACTCTATGTCTTACTGTTGAGTGTATTTCTTTGTTGCTCTTGCTTTCTTAAGCAAGCTAGTGAGGCATGATGGAGCGGGTATGTAAATGTTCCTGTAAAAGGCCTCTTTCTAGCATGTTGCAGTTTTTATTTTTAATAAATTGATAAGTGATATGAATGTAAAGCTAATTGTGTATGTTTTAAACATGACAATGAAAGTTTAAGATGTAGCTTCCATACTTGTGCATAATTCCAAAGTATTTTATTTTATCAGTGTTAAATAGCTTTTTGTACAGGCTGCAACCCATTTTTCTGAAGTGTGCTGTTTTTTAATGAAAATAACTAAAATCTTTTCACATCCCATGAAACTGCCGTTTACACATACAATTTTTTAAACTTACCATATTTTTCAGAATTAACTTTTTTGGAGGGAGGAAATTACCCACTTGATAAAAGATTCTAAACTGTTTAGGCTATTATGATTAGGTCCTCAGATTTTTATATAAATTTAGTCTGTAGTTTCTTAGGTTCTTCGCAAGAATTGATTGTATATATAAATATAAAATGACCCTCAAATTCTTTTAAATGTCTGGATTTTCCACTAATGAACACTCTGGGGAACATTTTGTTTATGCATACTTTCACCATTAAATTTAAAAAGTCTATCTCAGCTCATGTGAACCCTTTGTTTTTGTTATGTTCTGGGGAAATGATATTTTCATATACTTTCTGTCTAAATCAAGCAAGCTCCATTGTTTTAATTTTTAAATGTCAAAAGTTGGTGAGATTTTATTTTATTTTATTTTATTTTTGGGTCTGGTCGTGGGGCCTGAACTCTGGGCCTGGGCGCTGTCCCTCAGCTCTTCAGATCAAGGCTAGCGCTCTACCACTTGAGCCACAGCGCCACTTCCGGCTTTTTTCTTTTTGCTTATGTGGTGCTGAGGAATGGAACCCAGGGCTTCAGGCATGCAAGGCAAGCGCTCTACCACTGAGCCACCTTCCCAGCCCTTGGTGAGATTTTAATATGCCTAAATTTGAGTTGTAGTTTAAAAAGAAAATCTGGGATTTGTTGCTAAAACTCCATAAAGAAAAAGTAATAATGCTTAATATTTTTGACCAATAGAATGGATACCAATGTCAATCCAGTGTCAATGTGTGGATTTTTTTTCTTGTTTATTATTATGAACAAATTATCTTGTTCATAATTGTGTTATTTTGGTCCATTTTTCTGTGGCATTTGGTGCAATAAATCTTTGAATTATCTCGAACACTTTCCTGATGTTGGATATGATTTATTTGTTATATTTAATCAAAGGTGGTGTATCAAAGTAACTCATAGTAAAGCAGGATCTTTGTACATATAAGCCAGTGTGTTTTAACAGTGGTGTTTTAGAAGCACTGGGCATTTTTTCAACACACACTGATGATTGAGGGCCATAGTCATCAGTACATGGTGGGAGGGGATAGACGTATTCTGCCATGGGTGCATTCCCAGGGCCAGCTTCAGTAGCTATTAAATGTCCCACTGGGCATTCATGGGGGGGCAGTGGGGCAGACCTTTAATATCTAAGCTGTGTTCTGTTTTACAAAAAGTATTTTTTTACATGTTTCAGTTGATACTGAACTTCCCAGGAATGTAGTTGTTACACACATTAAAGGAAGGTTTTACTTTGGAACTAGAATCTTGGGGTTATAAGATAAGTACTCATTACCTTACTCGTGTAACTGTAACCCCTCTGTAGAGTATCTTTACAATAAAATAATCATTTGAAAACAAAACAAAAGATTTTTCATTAAGAGAAATTAGTTAATACTTTAATGTTATCTTATTACAGTATGACTTGGTTCTTGTACCAAGAACAAGTCACTTGGTCTTCTCCAAGAACTGATGGATTTTGGAAACTGTACTTCAGTACTACCACCTCTGAGGAAGTAGATCCCTCCATGCACCACACATCTTGTTTGCCTCCATGGAGTGGCTGTGGGAGGTAGATGTGGGCATCTGCCTACTCGTTAGCTTTCTACTCTGCTACCCCCATGTTTTGCATACTAAAGAATGAGTTTTAGAAGTAGAGCTGTGACTCAAATGGTAGAGTGCCAACCTTGAGCAAAAAAAGTTGGGACAGTTCCTAGGCCCTGAGTTCAAGCCCCAGTACTGCCACAAAGTAAAATAATGGATTTTAAAAATAGTTCAGCTAGGTGTTATATAGCTTTTTAAAAATATTTTTTATTGTAAAGATAGTGTGTAGCAGAGGGATTACAGTTACATGAGTGAGGTAATGAGTACATTTCCTATCAGGCATTGTTACCCCCTCCTTTGTTTTTCCCCTACTTTCCCTTCCCTCTAGTATATAGTTTTGCATAAATTGTGTATCTAAGGTTTACTATTTGGATTTTACTTGAGGATAATAAAGGGTTGTCACAAAATACTTGCTACATTGGTAGATATCTCTGGGGAAAAATGTTTATTATCATATTTTCCTTTAAAGAGAAGTTTCAGGTATTTCAAAATTCTTTCTGATAAATGAAAATTTCAAGTGTTTTTCCCGTACTCTGAAGCACATTTACAATTGTGCCACTAGTCAAAGTTTTAAATGTATACCTACATACCACATTCCATGTTTTTAAAAATAAGGGTCACCCATATTAAGGTGACCCTTCGTCTTGTTCCTGAATCCTGTCAGCTAAGCATCTTCATTTCTTGGCCTTGGTTCTCTCTCTCTGCCACCTGGCTACCCCTGCACACCTCTTACCAAGATCCAAGGCTTGTCTCCTCCCCTCCATAGTGTCTGAAGTTTTTCCCAGGTCTACAGCTTGGCTGCAATGACTTGCCTAAAATATACCACAGTTTCTTGTTTGTTTCTGCCTTATTTTAATTCTTCTGTTTTCAGTTGAGTTTTTGAAATGCTCCCTTCCATATCAAACATATCATCAATCCTGATGACTACTTCAAAACTGAAAATTTGACCCTGTCATCTGCCCAGTAAGCTTCAGGTGTCTTAGTGTCCTGTACTCAAGTGACATAGCAGATTATATCTCCAGCCTCATCCAAGATAACCTTTGCACTCTATTATTGAGATTATTATTGAGATCAGGACTCAAACTGAGTACCTGCTGCTTTCACTTCATTGACTAGCACTGTACCCAGTGAGCCACACTTCCAACCCCTCTTTATTTTCTTTTAAGAGATGGGGTTCCCACTATGTTGCCCAGGCCAACCCCAATCTCCTGGATCCAATCAGTTCTCCCACCTCAACCTCCTGAGTAGCTGGTATTACAGGCTTGGGCCACAGGACTGCCTTTGCACTTGAATATCCAGCTATATTAGACCACATAAACTACAACATTGAAATCTTTGCCCTGAAAAATATGTCCTTTCTGATCCTCTTCTAGTTCCCAGTGCCTAACTCAAAATTTAGTTCATTGTCACATCTTGTAGTACTTTGATACCTAAGGTCTGCCTCGGGCAACAAGTAACTACAGAATCTGGAATCTGGATAGAAATACAGAATCACCCATCACAGACCTGCTGAGCCATAAGCTGCATCTGATTGTATGGCTCAACAGCACATGGCTGTGATTCTTCCAACCTACCCATGGGAAGTGTGCTGGCCTTCAGGTGAGAAATGTAATAACAACACTGGTGGCCGACCCGGAGGCTCTGTGTTGTAAGCTTTTCTTATGTTGTGTTTGCGATTTGCTTTTCAATGCATAGAAACACTTGCTTCAAGTTATTTTCCCTGAAGAGGGGTTATACAAAAGCAAGTCGAGCCGGGTGCTGATGGCTCACACCTGTAATCCTAGCTACTCAGGAGGTTGAGATCTGAGGATTATGGTTCAAAGCCAGCCCGGGCAGGAAAGTCCATGAGACTCTTATCTCCAATAAACCTAGAAAACTGGAAGTGGTGCTGTGGCTCAAGTGGTAGAGCACTCGCCTTGAGCTGAAGAGCTGAGGAACAGCACGCAGGCCCAGAGTTCAAAGCCTCATGACCGACATAAAAAAAAAAAGCAGGTCAATAATTATTAGACATACACAACTCTGGGATGTTATCCAGAAATAAGACTCGAAGGACAAGTTTGCAATGCATGTATGGAAATTTAAGAGAAAGCCTGATTGATTTTTAAAATTTTTGCATGGTTCCATGTATTTTGTAGGAGTGGTGACCAAGTGATTGATGACCCTTACTAATAGGTGGAACCTAGCTTCGTTTTTGCTCAACATGAGGAAGAACAGTCCACACATACCTGATACTCTTTTCCAAAGCATATAACCTGAGACAACTTGTGAGCACACAGAGGTTCTGCAGAGCTGACTCATAGCTTTCAAAAACATGTCATAAGACTAGGAAACTTCTAGACTCGAGAGACATGATAACAAAAAATAACAAATTATTTGATTCCATCATGAATGCTGGGTTGGGGAAAATTATAAAGCCAATAATTTTTATTTTATTTTTGCCAGTTTCAACTCAGCACTGCACCCCTTTTGTTCAGCTTTCTTGCTGAGCTTTTTTTTTTTTACCACTTGAGGCACACCCTAGTCTGGGTTTTTGCTGATTATTTGGTTTGTTTTAGAGATAAGAGCCTTGAAAACTTTTCTGCCCAGACTGGCTTTTTTTTTTAACTAAAAGCTCATTATGTATTTTTCTCTACAAGCATCAAGGCATTCATATCTTCACACAAGAGCCCTTAATCCTTCCATTTTTTTTACATTTTACAAAGTACAGAAATGATTTCACTGTTTTGACCTAATAAATGGATGAAAAAAATCTAAATAAATAATTGTTCACTATAAAATGTTTTCCTCTCCAGCTGCTCAATAGGCCTGTTTATAATTTTTTTTTTCTGATCGTAGAGCTTGAACTCTAGGTCTGGGTGCTGTCCCTCAGCTCTTCAGCTCAAGGCAAGTGCTCTATCACTTGAGCCACTGCACCACTTCCGGTTTTCTGAATTGTTTATTGGAGATAAGAGTCTCACGGACTTTTCCTGCCTGGGCTAGCTTTGAACCACAATCCTCAGATCTCAGCCTCCTGAGTAGCTAGGATTAAAGGTGTGAGCTACAGGCACCTGGCTGCCCAGTCTGGCTTTGAACCTTAATCTCCTCGTTCAGATCTCAGACTCTTGGTTAGCTAGGAGTATAGGCAAAACCTGGCTGGTAAAATTCTTCTTTGCATGTTTTAGATACAAATGTGTCAGCTCAACTTTCCAAATTTTCAAATTATAAACATGGTTATGTAGGAGAACATCCTTGTTCCAAAGAGGTATACCTCAATTGTGTGTGTGTGTGTGTATATATATACATATATACATGCATATACATTAAAGAAAATTCACAGTGGACAGGTCTAGGTCAAATAGAAGGAAATATTTGTACTATTCTTATATTTCCTCTAAATTTTAAATCATTTTAAAATAAAAAGTATTATTTAAATGGAAAAATAAAACACATTCATTTGAATTTAGTGAATTTGAGATGATTTAACCTACAATAGCTCTAATCCTAGTTAGAATTAGTTCAGTGGTGCAAAACTTTTCACACATGGAAATCAACCATCCAATTGGAATCTAGCCCAGAATTCAGACCACAGGAATATAAGCAGCTAGCTCCCTTTTTTTAACACAGTCTCCAAGGGTCAAGTTCCTATAACTCCCTCGCAAAATGTGTCAAGGGGACACAGATGATGGCAGGACCAGGAGGTTTCTCGTGACAAAGGGTAAGTACTGTTCAGACTCTTGTTAGAGCATGGAGACTTGGTGGACCTGGGCTATTCTATTTCTTCCTGTCTTATACAAACTCAGTATTAAAACACCTTGGAAAACATTGATGACTGCAAAGGTCATTGTGCTGTGGGATTATGCCAAGACGGTGAATGAACCTCAGGAGACCAATGCTGACTGCATGCTTACACATGCTTTACTTAGTTCTCCAACAAAATGTTAAGAACATCAACCAATATCCCAAATCCTACTTCACACACACACACACACAAATTGCAACTTAACCAAGGACATGCTCATGGCATCTTCACAACCTCATGTTCATTTGCTACAAAAAGGGTTAACAGCACCCTAGCTTGATGGACATCTTGTGGGGACTCAAATACAGGCTTCAATTTGGTTTCACAGGTTAAAAGATGCTGCAAACTGGTGAACAGTATTACTGTTAAGTGGCACTTTCTAGTTTGTATATTAATACAGCTTGATTTTTTTCTGCCTATGGTGATTCAAAAAAGCAATAGATCATACCTTTCTCTTTGTTGGTACCTTTGGCAGTGTTGATATCTGGGACACTCTCAGTGATGGCGACTTACTCTGCTTCAAAAGTTGGGACCGATTGGAGTTTCTCTGAGTGGTGTTCTCATAATCACCCATGTGCCAAGCAAGAAAACCACGACTCTTTCTTCCTTCAGTATCTAGGACAGAAGGCCTTGGTTGCCTGAAAGAACAAAAAAACAGGAAGAGTATAGAAACAAGGTCACCAGTTTTCTAATTCATGAGATTTTCCTGTTTCTCCTATGAATTGAGGTGGCTTCTGGCCACATGGTTTGTGAGAGATAAAGACCTGGTATCCTGAGAAGGTTCTGGAAGGTTTTTCCTCAGTCCCTACAAATGGCTGTTCAACTGCTGGAAATAGCAAGAAGTACCTACCTTCCCCATTGACACTTAGGTTGGAGACTTCTCACCAGTGTAGAAGATTCTAGAAGGGGAAGGTGGCATATTAAGACTGTGACCTGAGGGGCTGGGAAGGTGGCTCAATGGTAGAGTGCTTGCCTTGCATGCATGAGGCCCTGGGTTCGATTCCTCAGCACCACATAAGCAAAAAGAAAAAAAAGCCAGAAGTGGCACTGTGGCTCAAGTGGTAGAGTGCTAGCCTTGAGCTGAAGAGCTGAGGGACAGCGCCCAGGCCCAGAGTTCAGGCCCCCAGGACCAGACCCCCCCCCAAAAAAAAGACTATGACCTGTAGTTCTCAAAGACATAGTCTGTTGATTTCAAGGTCTCACAGACATTCAGAAAAAAAATAACACTAGCTTTGGACATTTTAGAAGAAAGAAAATCCATCTTCTTTCCCCAGTGAGATCCTTGGCAACATTCCCCAAACCTTAAATTAGAATATTAACTCCACCTTTGCCTTCACAACATAAAGAGCAACTCTAGGGAACAGACAGAAATAGGAATGTAAGGTAAGGATTTGCCATTTTGTTTGGGAAGCAAGGTTTAAGAGTACCTCTTAGGGCTTCTTACCCATTTTCCCTTGACCATGTTCATTGCAGCATTATTTACTATAGATAAAATATAGAATCTAACCAGATGCCCCTCAGTGGATAAATGGATCAAGAAAATGTGGTATATATCCACAATGGAATTTTATGCTTCCATCAGAAAGAATGGCATTTCCCCATTTGTAAAGAAATGGAAAGAGTTGGAAAAAAATTATATGAAGTAAAGTAAGCCAGACCTAAAGACACACAGGCTACATGGTTTCCCTCATTTGTAATAATTAGAATATGTCTATAAATCTACAAGTAAACCCAATGGAGACTTTATTTAAAAGAAAAATTTTGCCTGTTGTTCTATTATCTATGTCCATGTGCTGTGTTTCACTGTGTGTTGCCATTACTTGTGATAGTTCCTGCCTTAGCAGCAACCTCCTTTCTTGTCTGCTGGATCGAATCCTTTCTCTTCAGACTTTCTCTCTAACTTCCCTGAGGTATTTGTGATAATGGACAAACATGTATTCATCCATTTCCTTTGGGCTTCCAACATCCTCCCCCTTCCTCTCTCTTGCCCACTGAGTGTGTGTGTGTGTGTCCTGTGTGTGAGTGTGTGCATGTGTGTGAGTGTGTGCATGTGTGTGAGTGTGTGTGGGTGTGAGTGTGTGTGGGGGGTGTGTGTGTGATAAGAATTTTTTCAAGCCTTTGTTAAGACATATGAGGATCCAGACACTGTGCTGGTTTTTAATATACTACTTCTCATCTGCTTCACAATCCCATATCATAGGAATTATTTTCCACTTTTTACATCTCTAAGACCAAACAGCAAAATTCAGGGAAGCTGGAACTTAAGTTTGTTACATTCTAAACGTATTTATTAAAATTATAAATTTATAATTATAACATAAATTAATATATTTACTTCTATTTATATAAAAATTTATGCATTTATATATTCATATACATATATTAATATTTATATAATGTTTAAATATGACTGATATACAATATAAATAAATTATAAACATATAAATGTAAATGTGCATTATATACATAAATATATTTATATAGTACAACATACTTATATATTTAAATATTTGTAAATTTATATATATATTTATAATTTATACAACTTTTATTATTTTTATTGTAAAGGTGATTACAGAATGGTTACACTTACATAATTCAGTTGTAAGGCGTACATTTCTTTTTGAACAGTGTCACCCCTTCCCTCATTTTCTCCGTTTTTCCCTACCACATGCCCCCCCCTACCAAGTTGTATATTTCATTTTCAACATAGTGTCTACATCTTTTTTGTGTGTGCCGGTCCTAGGGCTTGAACTCAGGGTCTACATGTTATTCCTAAGCTGCTTTTGCTCAAGGATAGCTCCACTTGAGCACAGCTCCAATTCTGGCTTTTTTGGTAGTTTATTGGAAATAAGAGTCTCATGAACTTAAAACTACAATCCTCAGATCTCAGCCTCCTAAGTAGCTACAATTACAGGCATGAGCCACCAGTTCCTGAATCATACTCTGTATATATACATATATACTCACATGCATACGTATGTATGTATATATGTATATATGAGTCTGCTGGTACTGGAGTTTGAACTCAGGGCCCAGACAATGTCCTTAGCTTTTTTAGTTAAGGCTGGCACATGTGAGCTTCAGTTCTACTTCTAACTTTTTTTGCTGGTAAATAAGAGATAAGAATTTCATTTTCCTGATCAGGCTGGCTTTAGAAATTCAATCATAAAATTTCAGCCTCCTGATCAGCAGATTACAGGTATAAGCCCAGCTCATACTTACTCTTAATAAGTATTAAATTAGTTAATACTTAGAGAACACTTAAAAAAGTGTCTAACTTTTAATAAAAAAAATTTGTGTTAGCTATTTATATTATGATTATGCTCCTCAAGTCATCTTCCCTTGTCTATCCCTTCCACTGATTACCTGTGATTCTTTTGATATAACCATATACCTGAGCCCCCAGAAGACACATATGGAAGTCACTTTCCACACTTGCTTCTCCTCTTCCTTCCACATTCAGGTGCCTAGCAAGTCTCAATGAGTCCTTTGTGGCTCTCTCTTCACCTCACCTCTCCAATGCAGGCAATCTTTGTGTTCACTGCAGTCATCTGGCTGGCATTCTCTTCCTCCCTCTTTGTCTCCTTTTCCTACTATGCCTAAACCATAGGTTTGATTATAGTACTTCCTGTCTTGAGAATTTGAACAACAGTAGTTTACTTCCTGTGAAAATTGAGCCCCAGAGTTTCAGGATGGAATTTAAACCACAGAAGCTGGTTTCTGTGCAATTCCAGCCTAATTTCCAAACATCCCCAAACCCAAACTTGTATCAGTCAGCCAGTATCTCCTCAATATAGCACATCACAGAGCTTTACCTGCTCCTTGTGCTTGTTTGATTTGCTCCTCAGGCTGGAATTTGTTTCTTGTCTCCACCTCCATGCTATGTCTTAAAAACACAGCTCAAGTGTTTTTTCCCTAAAAGTCATCCTTCTCCATATCTGCCCACATTTATTCCTCCTCTTTCCCCCATAGAACATCATTCAGACTGGTGTTTTCATTGTCATGTTGACTCTCCCCATCAGAAAATCTGAGAGTAGGCTGGGCATGCTGGCTCACAGCTATAATCCCAGCTACTCAAGAGGCAAAAATCAAGAGGATTATGATTTGAGGCCAGCCCCGGCAAAAGTTACTAAGACCCCTATATCAATAAGCCAGGCATGGTAGCACATGCCTGTCATTCCAGTTAGACAGGAGGAGTAAGTGGAAGGACCACAGTCCAGGCTACCTGCAGACAAAAATGCAAGACCTTATTTGGAAAACACCACCAAAAGGGCTGCAGGCTTTGTTTAAGCAAGCAAGTGGCCTTCGGTGAAATGCCAGCACTACCTACTTCCCCTCTCCCCAAAAATATTTGAAAGAGGGAAAAATCATTTCTTTTTCTTCCTTTTTTTTTCAATGTGGGGTAAATGGAACTCATGCCTGACAAGTGCTCAACCACTCCCCAGTCTATTTCCTACCTTTTATATGTGCAGTGTCTATAGTTCCTGACTTATAACATATTGTCAGTCCATTTTGCTAACATCTATAAACACACAAAATCCCAAAGCTTTTTTTTTCTATTTCCAGTGAAAGCTTCTAACTACATACAATAGAGAGGGCAGTAGAACAGATTTTCAACTTGCCATGTCCTTTACTAATGGAATTATTATTTTCTTTTTGGCAGTCCTGGGTCTTGAACTCAGATCCTGGGTACTGTCCTTGAGCTTCTTTTGCTCAAGGCTAGCATTCTACCACTTGAATCACAGCACTGTCACTTCCGACTTTTTCTGTGTATGTGGTACTGAGGAATCGAACCCAGGACTTCATGCATGCTAGGCAAGCACTCTACCACTAAGCCACCTTCCCAGCCCCTGGAATTTTTTTTATTATTATGTAACAATGTTGAACTATTCCTTAGAAACTACTGGCTTATTTTTGAGAAATGACCAAAATTTTCCCCACAGCCAGGACAGCAGAGAAATAGGACAGAAGATGAAATAGGTCTCAGCATCAATTAGGAAATGACTGGCGGGCCTTTGCTTATATAAGTGTCTGAGCAGAGGGGGAGGCTTGACTTTCACGTGGATGCTTCTGCCAGAGGAAACTCTTAAGTGCTGACAGCACTACAGCTCCTGGTGGGCCTGAGACTCAGCTGGGGCCTTGTGGCTCAGTGGCAGCTGCTTGATTCATGAGCAGACAATTCAGTGAGGTCTCAATGTTTGAATGAATGTTTACTTAAGTGATTCAGAATGGCTGGATAGCATGGAGCACTGAGCTCCCAGTGTTGAGTGCACAGGAGACACCCTGCTTCTGTTGGTCTTCTGACCCACAACTTCTGGCTTTAGTTAGTGGACTAACAATAGTTCCAATAAGCAATAGAATGACTCTTTTGGATTCCAAAGTTAAATTTTTAAAACTACCATTTAAGCTAGGTACCTGTGGATCATTCCTGCAATCCTAGCTATGCTGGAGGCTGAGATCTGAGGATCGTGGATCCAAGCAAGCTCAGGAGGTAAGGTTCATGACTTAGTGGTAGAATGCCAGCCTTGGGTGAAAAGGCTAAGAGACAGAGCCCAGGGCCTGAGTTCAAGCTCAGTACACACAACACACACACAGACACACAGACACACACACACAATTACTGTTTAAGTTCCAG